GAGCCGGACATCGACCCAAATTAGTAGAGCATAGAAAGGACTTACACTCCGTTTCCCTCCGCTCCAGCCCAATTACGTAACGTAAATTAAAGATACACGGAACGTAATCAGTTATGTTTTAAATTTTTTCTATTTGTTCGTCGCTAATAGAGGTTGGAACCAGTTTTATTTTTTATATGTTAAAATTTGAAAAATAAAACCAGTTAATAAAATCAGTTCCAACCTCTAGTCGCAACTTAATTATAATCAATATAAATTACCATTTTTACCTAACCAGTAATAAGTTGTGTTGATTATTCGTTATCCGACAAACCCATATGATCATGAAAAATATTCTTTCTTTTTGTTATTTTTCATGTGTTACGGTGTAATTATATTTATTCCAGTATTCAAATTAAAACTCAGCGAGGGACTCCCTACCAATCATGATCATAAACTGCCGGATAACACTATTGGGCAGATTGTCGAATACAGTAATTTAACAAATGGTTGTTACATGTGCTGCAAAGTGCACGTGCTCATTTGCCAAATCCCGTTTGTATTCGACAATTTTTGTCCAATAACGTTTACTTTTATGTGTATATTTAGCGAACTGTCTTACTATAGATAATGTCGAAATCTAGTTTTGGTAGGATATAGATTAATCTGACACAGGTACGTATGCACGTACCAATTTTGATACACAGCATAATTATTTTTTCCACTTCATGTCAAATTGTATATTATCAATGCCGTCAAATGACCTAATTTTATATTAAAAAAGGTCATATTTCATATAAATAATGTTACAATCAAATTTTACTTGGAAATAAAAACTATTAAGGGTCCGAAGAGATGTATTTTGCTTGATTATAGCATTTTTCCAATAGGAAATTAAGAAATAATATACTCTACAAATGTTAATGGTGGAGTTTACAAAGTAAAACGAAGAGGATAAATAATTCACAGACATATTCGGCGGTGTTCGCACTCCCTTATTTTACACAGATACAAACAAAAAAAAAAGATCAGTGTAACACAAAATTTACTAACGCTAATAACTCAAAACTTCGCTTAAGTAACTATCTTTTATGCTGTACCAAAAAAAAATTCCTTACAAAATTTTAGTAAAAGCTCTACTCTTTTACCCTTAAAATAGTCTTATTCTAACACCAAAGTCAAAGCAAATTATGAATTATTGGTACAAAAAAAGAACGGTTTATCACTTCATATATTTGTGCTACAGTGATATAAGTAAATCGGTGTTTCTATTTTTATGGAATTTTGAATTTTCAGAACTTTGAATTTTATTGGTTCATCCATTCCTGATTTTAGCGCGCAACCAATGCCTTATTATTTATCTACAACAAATAAATAAACAAATATTTAAATTTCTGAGCCCTGTACTCGTTCTGTTCAGATAAACAATTAATTGTGCAACATATGTCTGAACTTTATCATCCGTTATATTTTTTGCGTTATAAAATTTAATTAAGACGACTTACAAAGCATTGGGTAATCCGGATGGCCGTTCAAATATATTGGTTTCGACAAAAAAATATTGAGTCTTTTTCAATATACTGTAAGTAATCTAATTTTATCATCAATGAATTAATATTGCATTTTATTAATGGAGTGCCTATATTGTAAATTGTAAAAGATCCTGTTAAGGAGTTAAAGAACAATTTGATCTTGTGAAATTACAATACAAAGCTTAATATGTAATTACTTTATTGTAATTGACTAATTTCTAAATTCAGAGATTCATGTTGTAATTTAACTTAATTTTGGAAAAATACATATTCCAACACTAAAATACTAAAGAAATTTAAAAAGCTAATGGGATTTAAAATAAATATAGATCCTATTATTATTTTTTTATAATCTCTTTTTTTTCTTTTTTTTTTTTTTTTAAAAAAAAAAAATCATATTTAGCCAATTAAACATTGGCAAAAAATTTAGTAAAGAGAAATTTTAAATCTTTTGCGCGAAAAATTTACGAACAATGAAATAAGTTCGATGATAGTTGCATTCAGCTATAAGTTCATTTAGATGGTTATCAACATCTTTTGAGCCAAATCTTGTAACCGTAGAGCGCAATGTTTCTAAATTATATGTCTTGAACGCGCTTCCAAAATCATTGCACCATGTTCCAAGGGGAAAATTGCGTTCATGATGAGTAATATTTTTTAAATTATTGGCTTTCATCATGTCCGCAACTCTATTAACAATTAATATACTTATTTTTTTCTCGACAAGGAAATTTCTAACTATTTATATTTAGGATATAATGATATCAGTAACTATATATATAATATAGTGATAAAATATATTAATAAATTTATATCGAATAACAATTTCTTACATTTTCTTGCAAACTTTTCCATAATAGGGCCGATATTCCTTGAGTTTATTTCGGCTTCAGTTACCTGAATAAAAAAGAATGTTATATATCAAATTAACTTGCATTAAAAAAAGTGTAAAAAAGTGTATTTCAAATTTTACCTCGATAAATCCCCCGGGCTTCAAGATTCGAGTGCAATCTTGAATTACAGAGTCCCATTGCTCATCCCTGAGATCAAAAACTAAGTTTCGAATGTGAACAAAATCAATTGATTCGTCACGAAACGGAAGTCCTTTGGTAATGTCTGCCGTGACAAAATTCACATTTTTTGGCTTATTAGAAATAAATTGTTTAGATGTTAAATCCACTCCAATATATTGACATTCTTTAAAGTCTGACGACATTTCGAACAACCAAGTTCCAAGACCGCAACTATAAAAATAAAATAGTGCCAAATAAATCAATAAAATAATGTTCTTATGAAATAAAGAATCCTTTAATGTTTAAGTTATAGCTCTTAGTTACCCGATATCTAATATTGTTAGCCCGCCATTATTTAATTTCTCTCTAATAGGTGAAGAAAAATTTCCTTTAAAAAGCTCCCTAAGAATGCTGTGCCATAAACCCGAACTTTCTTCCTCTCGATCGAATTCTTTAGGTATACCTGAGAAAATATATTGTGAATTTGTATCAAAATTTCTCGCTTCTCTCCGAGATTTTGCTATAAAATTTCCCATAATGAGATAAAATTCATTTTTTTTTTAGGGATTCTAATCAATAACCCTTTTATATGTTAATTTAATGTTTCACTAACAAAATATTTAAACATTAGTGTATTGTGTACTACATTAATTAATTTCTATTCGTACATATATACGATAAACTGTAACGTAAAATATTGCACCCCCTAAAAAATTTGATTATACTGTATCTCAAAATTCTGATTATGAAACTATCTTTCGGGTTCTAAAAAAAATTTCCTGTGAAACTTTGGTCTGAGATTCCTCCTACCACATTTTTTACTATAACCGTAAGCAAGAGTTTAATTTTCTCATTTCATTTTATTTGTATATTATACGGATTTGCAAACCAATACTCGGTATCATACATTACGTGTACGACTATAAATTTTCTTAAAAAATACTATATGAAGCGTAGCGAAGACCATTTAAATTCTAAACAAAAAATGCATGTTACAGTACAGTTAGTGTAACAAGGCGCTATTGTAATGCACTGTACGTACGTGTATACCAAATTATTGCTTCGTACGTACCTTCATCGTATTTTTAATTTCCTAGTACGTACAAAATTGTCAAAGTCTTCTAAGGATTGATAAATCAGCTCATCAGCATTATTGATTACATCTGTTTTCAAAAACTTAGTCGTGGATCATGGACGAAGTTTAATTTTTACTAATCTAAATTTCGATTTCCCACAGGTATATGGAAATCGTTACACATTTTTAAAAACGGCTGGCTGTAAATTAGTCTTATGATAATTATTATGAAAGCCGCTCGTGATCTCTAATTTGTAACTTAACTTTTCATTTATTTTTATATATTATAATTCGTCCTAAATTTAAATTATTGTACGTACGTACGTATTACTTTTTCATTTCCCCTCTTTTATGGGCAAATTAAGTATTTGTCTATCCAAACAAATAATTTATTATGCAGTGATTACCTAAGCTAAATAGCTTATCCTTTATACGAATATTTCCCGAATTAGCTAATATTAAACTTTTGTTTAGAAATAAGCTTTAATTTTTTTCCCTGTATAATTCGTTATTTTCTTCATGATGTTCATATTTGCCTATTTTTTTCTGTAAATTGTTGCCTATATTATTTTCGTATTACAATAATTATTTTTAACCATGCACCTATTCATACTCTCGCTTTTATTTACTTATTGGTAAGGCAAATATGACAAAATGATAATATTATGAAAATAATAACCTATGTACGCACGTACGTGTACCTATTGCTATGTCCAGCTTCTAAATAAATAATTTGTTTTTAGTAAAAATACCGAAAAGATTGTCATTCCTGTGATTACGTTAAGGCCAGACCAATTTGATTCTCTGTTTAACATAACCCCCCCCTCTATTTTTTAAAATTTTGTATGTAAAAAAAACACAATTTTGACCAATCAAATTGCAGTATTAACTTTT